TTTCATTGCTAATTTTAGAATCTACTCAATTCAGTAGTGTCACTTTTTTGATGTTACCCTAGAAGAATCAAATCTGTTATCAGAATGTCGGTTTAAAACAAATGTTGTGCACCAGTATTCTTGTCAAAGACCAACCAACTAGACTTTACTACCAAAAGTAACATGTCATTTGATTTTAATAAATCATCTATTCAATATTGATGACTTTTTTGCAGCATTCATATTGACAATTTTTCAGTGAGGACAAGTTAATTGCCTGATTACTTCCACATGGTTTTCACGCTATTTTTAGTAACTTGATGCTTAAATCTTGTTTTGAACATTTATGTCACATGTATGACGACCACCGGTTCTTCTGGTATTTTTTAAGCACCTCAATCAGTGCTGTATCTCATTCGAGTTTTTATGTCGAATTAGACTTTCCGCTGTTGCACAAAAAAAACTTTTTAACTAACAAAGTAATTGCAAATTTCTACGAAAAAATTTATTCTGAAGAGAAAATTGTTTAAACATTGGACACTAAAACGACTATATTCAGCTAGACAAAATAAAAGCTTTACTTCATGTTGATAAATACAGGTGACAGAAAAACCGTAACTTCCGTTATTGTAATTTGACAATCTTTAGCAGCAGTTAATTAACAGTAACATATCTTTTTATAATTCTTCAATTCTTCCTGTTTCCTTGAGTTTTTTTTTTGCTTCTAGACTTTACTGTCTTGAACCCTCTTTAAAGCAGTCACTCTACTGTTTTTTTATTGCATATAATAACCGATATCAAACAAAATTACCAAATAGTTTAAAAACTTAAAAATAAAAGGTAGAAGAAACGACATTATACTGCAAAAAAAAAAAAATTGTCAGATCAGCTTACTTCAGGTTTTTTTAAAAGACTGTCTTTTTTTTGACTGAACATTTGAAAAAAGTTCTTTGAAAAATCAAACCGGTGAAGAATCTGTAAAGATTAGAAATTTTTGTAACTTCTGCTTTCCCTTTCACAAGCTATTTTTGTTGACGATTTGTTGATGGCTTTGATAATATTCTAAATTCAACACGGCTTTTTATTGCAAAGTATTTGTGCGGCATTCTCTTTATTTTTTTGATTCGTTCTTGAACATCGTTTTATCTAAACTGTTTAATTTCAGAAGAGTAAAGTTTTTCGTCAAAATCATTTATTTGTAGCCTTAATAGAAAAAAAGTGATTTCAATTTTCTTTATTTATTTATAATTACTCATCAGAAAAAATTTACCAAATACATCTTTTCAAATATGACCGGAGAAATTTTTAATGCGTTTAGTTCTTCAACACCGTTTGCTGTCAAAGGTGCCTTATGGTGAGAAGCTAAAATTTCACCAAACTGAACACTTCTAAGCGGCAGCTGTAGTTAGAAAGGGCAAATAATGTAGCAGAAATGTGGTTCAATCAAACTTTAATTTTCCAATTGACCCAAAAGCTGTTCTAAAAAATACAGAAGAATTAAAAAAATAATTTTTTGTTGGTAAATTTTTTTATGCTTTTTTCAACAACGACAAAAATCTTGTTTTTTTGGTTACGCAGATTATTATTACCTTTTTTTATCTTATTCTTTATTTTCAAATTTTCAATTTTGAATTGTATGTAGTCATTTATCTGGTATATTAAACGACTGACTTTTCTAAAATCAAATTGCTTTTTTTTCTTGCCTTTTCGCCTCTATCTTTCCTGAACCGTCTGAATTAGCACTTCTCATTTGGCAAAATTGTCTAAATATTTCACACTAGAAACGTTCATAAATATTTGTTGATTTTTACTCTTTACTCTGACAGTATAAAAAATTACTCATAAACAAAAACACTTTTTGGAATAAGTTTAAAAGATTCCGCAAAAAGCCTAAATATGACATTAGTTTTAACAACTTACCAACATTAGGTAACCTGAAGGTTGTCATAAACAGTTTTTAGACGTTCTAGATCAGGCAAATCCTTCTCGCAAAGATACATTTCAAAACTTTTGAAAATGACACTTATAAAGTTAATATTTTATAGGGTAGGGTAAATACAGCAAAACTTTATATTCCAACTTATTTTTTTTATAGTACTTAAGCTTGTAGTCTGGCGTTGTTATGTAGTATTAATACTTCCTTCTTTACCACAAGCATCAGCCTCAACTTCAAATTCTATTTATGTCTTCCACTACTGAGCAACGCTCTTCTGCAGTAACAGCCTCACTGTCACTCAGAAAGCCCCTGTAACTTAATCCGCGAAAACTTCGTCAGTCTGTTGTATTAATCATTGTTTTAAGCTATTAAATCCAGATTTTGTCATCTTATCATGAAATGCTCAAGACTTGCTTACCGCTTATGGCTTTCTCACTTGTCACAAAACAGCCTATTTTTCACTGCAAACATAAATTCAGTTTAAAAACGGACCATTTTCGAATCGCCGAGGAAAAGCTGTGCAGCGGTGGTCATGGGTCATTTATTACAGTGCACCCACTCTGAGCGCTTATTTTTCCAGCCTTTTTCGCTGACTGCTTGGTACGAAACCCAGTTTCTGAAGTCTTCTTTAAATCTTACTCCCCTATTAGCAGCCTTCGATCCTTAGTTTACAAAATGAGGCGGTCTACCTAAAATATGTTATAATTTCACCTCTGTTAACAAAAGAACCTGCAAACCATGGCTTTACAGTTCATTCTTTAAAAGAGGATTTTTGAAGTACGCCATTAATTTTTCGACTGGCTGCGTCTATGTTACTTCCTTCTTCCCCCAAAAAGAGAAATCGGCTGAGAAGCTGCATTTTTGCATCTTCAAAATCTTTTTTAAAAGTGGTTTAGAAGTTAAAAAAATAAAAAAAAATGAAGT